TTGGCCAGGTTAATTAGAGGGCGGTGAGTTCCCGTGGATAGGGGAGGGGAGATTCAGAAAAGGAAGGCAAGGACGGTTGGGACACTTGAAGCAGCAGTGGGCACCACGGCACTGGACACACTGAGACTATGAATCTGGTCTCTGCTTCAAGATACAGTAAGATAATTTTCAACTACGCGCACATGTATATTTATATACATACATGGACGCTGCCCGACTCCACGTGTCCGCACTAATCTGTGCTGTTAAAACCAGGCGGTGGTTACCCTCAGGGGCGGGCGCAGAGAGGGTGACCCAATCGGCAAGGTCAGCACAGTCTCGCTTGTGCTTACTTGCTCATCTGCGGGCTCCCTGACAGATTAGAGGAAGCACAAGTACGCACGTGCTTCCCTGCTTGCTTTGATTCAGCAGGAAGGGGCTGCGAGAGCTCGTGACACCACCGTGGCCTGTAGGCTGGCGAGGACGCACAGGTCAGCCCTTGCATACCTCGCTTACCGGGCACTCCGACCCTGGCTGGGTGCGGGGAGGTAGAGGTGTGAGGAAGGAGCAAGAGGGGCTGCCTGGGGGGCTGGGCAGCTTCTGGGGGCTGGTGGGGGTGTGGAGGACGTGGGGTGTCTGCTTTGAGGGGGCTTTGGGCTGGGTCCTTACTCATTCAGGCCAGGTGGCTTCATAACGTGGGTGGGAAAAACGTTTTCCCATGAACCTATGGGAGCCCCTTTGCAGTATGTACTTTTTACGGTAGGTCGAACAACAGGTGGAAACAAATTTAAAACACAGGCACCTCCAGGGACGGAAAGCAGGTGCCACCCTTGCTGAAAAGCCCAACCCCCCCCCCCACACACACACACACACTCCAGGTCTCAATCACACGGACCACCTCCCATGACCCCCCTGCAGCCCAGGAGCAGTTAGGAAAGGGGCCAGACCTGATGACCAGACAGGCTGCAGAGCCTCGAGTGGCCAACTCGGGCCAGCATAGGGGTGTGCGGGGTTGTCACAAGCTGAGGGTTGCACCCTGGGCGGCGACATCCGGGCATTACAAAACACCGTTGGCAGGGCATTTGTCAGCAAACCCAGATGGGAGCCGAGTCTGTGTCCCCTGATTTCGGCCTTAGCCCACACACACACTTCCAAAGGCCCAATGTGAGCCCTCAGCAGGGAGTTGCCCCTAATACTGGCACCCACCCCTCATAACCAGATTGGCAAAGGGCGTAGAGCTAACCATCCTGGCAGACTCGGGCATTTGCCCTCGCCACGAGGCCTACTCACCAATAATGACCTAGAAATCAGGCCCCCCTCTGAAAACCTAAAGGAACCCTGTGGGTGCAGTGGGCTGAGTGTCCGGCTGCTAGCCACAAGGTCAGCTGTTCAAAGGCACTAGCTGCTCCGAGAAAGAAAGATGAGGCTGTCTACTCCTGTAAAGACTGGCAGGCTCGGACACCCTAGAGCTGGAATCTACTGGATGGCAGTGGGTTCGGCTGTTGGTTTAGGAAGCTGTGCCCCTCTGCTCAGAGGCATAGTCCTTCAGTAGTGGCCCAGGCCCAGGGGTTCAGCAGCTCCCCCCACCTCTCTGCCCCCAGGCAAGTCCATTCTGGCCAAACTGGCCTCCCTGTGGCTCTGTCAATGGACCAGGCACAAACCCATCTCAGCCTCTGCCTCGGCTACTCCCTCCCTCTGCAGTCCACATTCCTGTGCTACTGGGGTGACTGGTGTGGTGCTGTGACACGTGAAGGTAGGCCACTGGCATCTCATATTCCAGCAGCGTCAGCAGGTGTTGGCAAAGCTTCCAAACGAAGACAGGCTAGGAGGAAAGGCCTGGCGATCTACTTCGGGAAAACAGCCAATAATAGCCCGCTGGACCACAGCAGCATTCATTCTGTGCAGGCGTGGAGGAGCCCCTGGGTGGGCGGCACCCAAGACACACTCGCACTCCCTTTCACTACCATCGAGCCCAGTCCCACCCGCAGTGAGCCCGAAGGATGGGGCGGAAATGTCCCTGGGGTTTCTGAGAGCATCTCTCTTCACGGGAAGGGACAGCCTCACCTTTCTGCAGCTGGTGCAGCTGGTGGTTTCAAACTGCTGACTCTGCAGTCAGCAACCCATCTCGTGACCATTACGTCACAAGATTGGGCTTGAGCCCACCTGCAGTCGTGAGGCCTATGGGGGGGGCGCCGTTACCAGCAGCTATCAACCCCAGCTCCCTGGGGGCCCCTTCCCCGAGCGCTGACCCAGTTCCCTCTGCTCACATGTCACCTTCTCGACTCACTATTGAAAGAACACCCTCCTCTACCACCCTCTCGGCTCCACTAACTTTAACCACACCCACCCCCCACCCCACCTACAGCACTCGCCTTCTGACACAGCTTTCCCTCGGATCACGTGGCAGGCCTGCCTGTCCTGGCTAGTGGCTGAGACCTTTCTCGTCTTGTGGCCACACACCAGAAACAGAGCTGCCAGCTGCCACTGAGCTGACTTTAACTCACGGTGACCCCCGGTGCGTCTGGGCAGGGCAGGGCCCCCTGGGGGGGGGGGGCAACGACTGGTTTGGGGAGCCTGATCACTTGCCTTTTCTTCCCAGGCATCTCTGGAGGGGCGTGGACCTCCCACCTTAGCCATGGGGGTTAAACAGATTCTGACCCATCCCCGCTGCCACCCTGCAGGACAGAGGAGGGCTGCTCCTTTGGGTTTCTGAGACTGTAAATCTTTACGGGAACAGACAGTATCGTCTTTCTTGCTTGGAGTAGCTGGTGGATTCGAACAGCTGACCTTGTGGTTAGCAGCCCAACTCGTAACCTGCTACCACCAGGGATCCTTTCTGACTCAACAGAAATTGCTTAATAAACGTGTGCTAAATGGATGAATGAATAAATCCGGTCCTGTCCCTGTACTGCTAGGTCTCACGCCTCTGTCTCTGGCTCCAGATCTGATCCCCAACTGCCTCTTGGATGCCGCTTGCTGAGTACCCCAATCCGTCAACCCGGGAAGCCCTCACTGAGCTCATGACCTTCCCTCGCTGCACCTTCTCTGGGCATCCCACTTCAGCTGCACTCCGGCCCGAGAAGCTGCAGCCGTAGCCCCAGCCTGCTCTCCCCACCCCCCGCCCCCCATCATTTCTGCCTACCCCTCTCTGTGTTCCCACTGCCACTGGGATACAGACTGAACGTGATCTCTCTGGGGTCACCTGATCATCAGGGAACCCAGCCGAATCCTCACCCCATCATAAGGGCACCCATCCCTCCCCTTACACAAACACCTGCATGTTGACAGGGCGCTGGGGCAGACATGATGTCACTGGGCTTTCACAACCACCCCCAAGCTTAGATCTTATTGTGCTCAATGGATGGAGCAGAAAATAGGCTCAGAGAAACAAAACAATTTGCCTGGAGTCAGAGAATGAGTCAAGAGGGTGAGCTGGGGCCTTGAACTAGGGTCTCAAGAATCAACCAATGTGGAGCAAGCTATAATTCCCAATGACTCCTGGTAACTTCTCTGGATCTGTTTCCTCTTTGGGAATATGGAAATAATCCTAGACCCTTGAACTGGGCGTGGAGGGGGTGAGGGTGTTTGGTGAGGATTCAACAAGGCAAGCCATCTGAGGGGTTTAGCGTGGTAACTCACAGGCTATAATGTTGAATGAACGCTCTCTCTCTCACTGCCATCAGGTCAAGGCTGACTCATAGCGACCCTATAGGGCAGGTTAGGACTGCCTCAGTGGGTTTTCTAAGCTGTAACTCTTTAGGCAGCAGAAAGCCTCAGCTTTCACCTAAGAGGCAGCTAATGGTTTTGAACTGCTGACCTTGCACTTAGCAGCACGGTACATAGCCACTACGCCACCAGGGCTTCTGGAATTAATGCTAGTGCTTGTTATTGCTATGTTGGGGACTGAGGAGATGGCGGGGGTCTGTGTGGTTTTCCTGGGAAGAGAATCCTTAGCTTCTAGCAAATTCTCAAGAGGATCTACGACACCCCCACTCCTCCACCAGTGTTTCAGTATCACTGGACCAGGGAGAGAACAACCAAGAGCATGCTCGGCGTCAAGCAGGACCTCCTTGTCTTCCCAACATCCCTCCCCAAACACTCCCACGTTCATCAGGACTACGGCCCGCGGCCAGAATCGAGAGAGCTGGTGCAGGAACACAAGGGGGTCAGTTCAGCCTGCGACTCTGAAGGTTGACTCATCAAAGTGGAACAATTAACAGCAGCAGCAGACTCACTGCACTCAGGTCACTTCCAACTCAGAGCGAGCCTGCCGGGCAGAACAGAACTTCCCCTGTGGTTTCTACAACTGTCTTTATGAGAACAGAAAGCTGAGTCTTTCCGTCACGGAGAAGCTGGTGGTTTTGAACTGTTGACAGTTAGCCGCCCAACTTCTAACCCAGGGCTCTGGAATGTCAAGCAGCTTATGCTTAATCCCCATTTGGCATTCTGCCCATCCCCTACACCCTCCATGGTTTTCTTGTTCCTGACAGAAAGAGCCTGTTTGGAATTCTGTAACCATCTCAGGTCAAGCAGCTCTTTCTGATTTGCCTCCCTTCAGCCTCTGGCGAAGGGGCCCTGCAGGTGGAGCAGCAGGTGCAACACTGGGCTGCTAACCCAGGTACCTCGGAAGACAGGTCTGGCAATCTGCTCCTGAAAAGCCCCAGCCTTGAAAAGACCCCGTCCGGCAAGTTCTCTTGCACACGGGGCCCGCACCTCAGAGGGCTGTGGCGTGAATCGGAGAGAACACAGCCCAAATGGGCTCAAAGAGAAGTCCACCAGCATTCCAGAAAGGACAGTGTGGACTGGCCATCACTTCCTCGCCCCATACCTCGGGTTTCCCCATCGCAAAAATGGCAGGTGTGGCCTGGCTTAGCTGGTCACCCCCGGGTACCCTCCACCCCTGTGCCCACTGATCACAGTACCCATTTTCCAGGTCAGAAAACTAAGGCCCCAAAAGGCAACCGAGTCAACTCACTGCCAGACACACACTGAGACTGGGGTTGGGGAGAGGGCAGGGTCACCTGGAGGACCACAGAGATGGTCTTCTCGCCTGCCTTGGCTGCCCGCCATTTCCGGTACGTGTCCGCCTTGAGAAGGTTTTCTGCACAGTGGGTCTGGGGACAACATGGGAAAGAGAGGTTAGGACACATGCCAGGCAAGCCCAGCTCTCAAACTGTTCCTCAGAATCTTTCCAAGCTCCCTGCAATTCCCCACCTCTAAGTTCCCTGTTACTCCCCCCAGAACCCTGGAGGCGAAGTCGTTGGGCATTGAGCTGCTACCTTTTGAGATCAGCAGTTCGAAACCACCAACTGCCCCGAGGGAGAATGATGAGGCTTTCTACTCCCATAATTAGTCTTGAAAACCGACAGGGACAGTTCTACCTTGCTTTATATGGTTGCTACCAGTCGGCATCCACTCAGTAGCAATTGAGTTTGTTCGTTCGTTTGTTTTTATTTACTCCCTTACCCCTCAAGGAGGGCTGGCTTGTACGGTAGCTAAAGCACTCTTATGCTAACCAAAAGGTCGGCAGTTCGAACCCAGCAGGCTCTCATCAGGAGAACGAGGAGGCTGCTGGCTTCCACCAAGATCACATCCGTGGCAACCCTTTGGGGAAGCCCTACTTTGGCCTAAAAGGTTCTGTATCAGAATCGCCTGGACAGCTATGGGTTAGGGCTGTTAATACCGCCGCCCCCCCCCCCCCCCCCCCCCCACACACACACACACACGGGGCCTTGAATTTCCTCTACAAGTGTTGACCCTTGAAGTTCACCTGCAGGCTTTCCAGGGAAACTCCTCTATCCCTTCTTCCTCTCCGGAAGTCCCACACTGGCCCGGAAGTTCCCCTAGCCCGCCCCCCCCCGCCCCCTCCCGTCTCTCAGAATTCATTCAGCGCCTCCGGGAAAGGCACCCACCGCCCTCCTTGCACTTTCCTGAAGTTCCCGGTAACGCCCCCAAAGTTCTTGGGCAGCCCCACCCGCCCACCTCTTTAATGCCCTTACGTCTCCCCCCCGTCTCCTCCCCACGCTGGCCCCTCACCGAGTCCTGGCTGCTGCAGGACACGACGTGACGGAGGCGGATCTCCGGCATGCCGACGTCGTGGGCCTCGCGCGGCCCGAAGGACGCCGGAGAGTCCGAGAGCCGAGAGGAGTGCGCCTCGGCCGGGCTTCAGCGCGCAGGCGCGCGGGGCTCGGGCCTTTCAAACCGCGGCGCGCCGGCGCGCGCGTCGACACCGCGCATGCCCAGTCGCGCCTCTACGGCGAGAGGCACGGAGCAGCCTAGCAACAAGCTGGCCTCTAGTTACGCTTCCCTGGGAGTCCCTCCGCTCTCTAGCCCCACCTCCCGATGACGTCTACATCCTACTCTCTGGGCGCCTAGCAACAGGCGCAGCCTTCGGGATTGGCCCCGAAGGGAAATTCTCCATTCTCATTGGACAAGTCGATCACCGCCCAAACTGAACCCTTGAAGGCGATCGGAGTTGGGTTTTTGCGGGCAGCCGGGAGTCTACCCAGCAAGCTCTCTTCCACCGGTTCCTGTGGCTACACGCGCGCGCGCACACCACCACCCCTAGAGGATTCCCACCCATGCCTCAGTTTCCCTGGCTGCTGACGGGCGACCCCTCTAGTGCACCAGCTAGCGACCCAGACTTGCAGCTCAGGATGGCTCAGGCCACCGAAGGCCCGCACGCAGAGAAGAGCGTAGGAACCAAGTGACAGATGGAAAAGGGAAGGAAGACAGGTCACCCGAATCCCCATGGAACGAGCCCAGACCTGCTCCCAGGCCGGGCCCCACCCACGCAAGGCGCCGCCTCGGGAAGCAGAGGGCATCCTGGTCCGCTGCCGTGGGGAGTAAATGACCCCACGCAGGCCGTGGGCTTTTGAGTTAAGAAAATGCTGTGGAAAGGGAAGGTGACCTTCTGGTCCTGGTGGCTGAAGGATGGCGGCAGCGGGGGACAGAGCTGGACGTCAGGTGCCTGGGTGTCTATGGGATGGCTGGTCCCACCTCCCCTACCCAGGGGCTGCAGAGCCCGTCCGCAGCTCTGACCTCAGCTCCTTCTCACCCCAGGGTGAAGGTGCGTCTGGACCCGCCCCTCCGAAGCTCCCTATAAGGGCTGGGGATCCGGGACTTCGGCTCACCCGCCATGAGGACCTCTGGGAGCCCCGCGACCTTGCTGGTCTTCACATTGCTCTGCACCTTTCTGGGCCTCGGTGAGTGACTGGGGGAGGCCTGGGGTCCTGGGACCCTCTGGAAAGCTAGGTTGTAAAAGAGCATTCCACAAAGAGGGATTGGGGGGTGGGCGTGGGGGGGAGGGATGGAAGGTTTCCCCTCATAGGATTGGATCCTGCAACGAGGAGGGGACTGGGTGGCCTTTGAATCCTCTTTCCCTCAGGCTGGTTCCCAGCAGCAGGCATCTAAATTCTGCAAAATCAGATGAGAGCAAAACTGGAAAGAGAGGTTTAAGAGGATGAGGATGAGCGAGCTCTCTTTTCTTCCTGGACCCCCAAGAACTTCGGGTCTGGCCCCTCCTCCCTCAGACCCAGGAGTCCAGACCCCAGCCTCATCCTCGCTCAGACCCAAGATTCCAGCCCCCTCCTCTCTCAAACCCAGGGGTCCAGCCGCCAGCCCCCTCCTTCCTCAGACTCGGGGGTCCAGCCTCCTCCTCCCTCAGACCCAGGGGTCCAGCTCCCAGCCCCCTCCTCCTCCTGGAATCTGAGCATCAGCTCTACTCTCCATGACTCAGGTGTCTGGGCCTCCAGTCCCCTCCTCTGTTAGTACCAAGAGTCACCACCCACACCCAGCCCTCACTCTGCCGCCTGGGCTGTAAACCCCTGGCCTGGGGGACCGCTGCCTGAGCTCCTACTGGCTCCCAGACCTATCTACCCACAAGGAGGAGGGCGCCCCACCCCAACCAGCCGAACCTGAAGCTTCCTAAGAATCCATGAACGCCTTCACCGCGACCCCTCCCCGCTCAGAGCCTGGGAGCCAGAGCCCCCAGCCTTGTAATTAGGTTAAAAAAAGGCTCCCTGATGGAGTCGCTTCCTGCCCTGGGAGCAGCTTGGTAGGCTTCATCATCGCGTCCCTGCCACCTCTGACCACTTCCCTGGATTGGAGTCAGTGCCCCGCCCATGAGACACAGAGGTTACGGGTCCCAGAAATATGTACCATCAAGCCAGCAGCCCCCCTCCCCCGGCCCAATCGCGCCCGCCCTCCTCAAGACCAGAAATCTCGTCTCTCCGTCCTCCCTCAAATCCTGAGGTCTGGGCCCCAGGCCTCCTCCTCCCCGGGGGCTCTGAAGTTGTCCCCTGACTAAGCCCCGCTCTCGGCCCCGCAGGACGCCCCCTGAGCTGCGAGGTGTGCAAGGGCTCCGGGCCCACGTGCACTGGAAAGATACGGACGTGCGAGGATGGCAAGGACGCCTGCGTGGTCATCGTGGGCGAGTCTAGCACAAGTGCGCGTGCTCAGAGCCGGGGGTCGGGGGACCTTCTGGGTAGCAGGGAGATACCACCACCATGGTGGGGGGTTGGGGGGTGTAATCACTTCCCGGGAAGAGGAAAAACCCCGGAGGTGGAAGGTGACAAGTGAATGGGGACAGAAGCCACGTTTAGGTGCCCCCCAAACAGGGCCACCCCAAAAGGAGATGGCGACTTTGGGGAAGGGGCGAGAGAGACTTTCTGAAGCAGGGGTGGGTGCTGCGGGAAGGAGACAGTGGGTGGGAGAAATCGTGAGGGTGGAGGAATGTAGCGGGAGAAGGTCGAGATTGGGAGTGGGGGGGAGGCAGTAAGGAGAGAGGGGAATCAACCGAAAATTGTCCCCAGGGGTCCGTGGGGAGTGGGGTGGTGGTGGTGCCTGAAAGTG